CCACTGCAACGTGAGACCACGGCTCCTCGTTCCAACCTAGACCTCCCCCACTGCAACGTGAGACCACGGCTCCTCATTCCAACCTAGACCTCCCCCACTGCAACGTGAGACCTTTGCTCCTCGTTCCAACCTAGACCTCCCCCACTGCAACGTGAGACCTTTGCTCCTCATTCTTCCATCTGCCCCCACTGAGAACAGCCTCTCTCCAGCCTCTTTCGAACCACCCTTCAGCGAGTTGAAGATCACAATGACTAGTCTAATGACTCCCTCTCCAAAAAAGAAATTGGCTCCTTCATTGTCCAAAACGATATTCCACGTTTGACCAAGAGGCCCCCCAAACGCCCCACCATTTTCTAGTAAATTAAATCAACAGAGACTATGCCTGTTGCATAATAAAAAGCCTCCGCGTGAGCTTACTTGGTTTTACACATGCATTTTCTGAAAATACACAGAGGCTGTGTCTAGACTGGCCAGTTTTTTCAGAAAATCAGCCAGAAAATCAGCCGCTTTTCCGGAAAAACTTGCCAACTGTCTACAGTGGCCGCTTGAATTTCCGCAAAAGCACTGAATTCCTACTGTAAGAAATCAGTGCTTTTTGCAGAAATACTGTGCTGCTCCTGTTCAGGCAAAAGTCCCTTTTGCGCAAAAGGGCCAGTGTAGACAGCTGAGATTTGTTTTCCGCAAAAAAGCCCCGATCACGAAAATGGCGATCGGGGCTTTTTTGCGGAAAAGTGCGTCTAGATTGGCCAAAGATGCTTTTCCGCGAAAAGTGTTTTTGCGGAAAAGCGTCCGTGCCAATCTAGACACTCTGTTCCGAAAATGCTTTTAACGGAAAACTTTTCCGTTAAAAGCATTTCTGGAAAATCATGCCAGTCTAGACGTAGCCAGTGTGTAAGGTCTAAGGTTTTAAACTGCAACTGATGGTCATCTTTGTTAAACCTTGCAACTTGCAGTGCAACGATGCCTGCACTACAAAGAAAAGTTGGACAAAGATACGCAAATTGCGAACTTGTGAATCTTTTTTCCACTTTACTTCTGAAAGAGGGTTTTCAGACATTTAGCCTATCTACATGGGGCCACATGTTGGGGGAAAACCCCTCTTTTAGAACATCCCTTCTTCCTCGTAAAATGAGATTTACAGGGATGCCGAAAAACACGTCTGCTTGTCCGAATTTTTTTTCAGAAAAGCAGAGATGTTCCGTTATCCCAGAAAAGCTCCAAAGTCTAGACATACCCTGGATGTTGGACTTGTTACTCGGGTGCTTTCAACTCCCCCGCCCGTGTGTTCAGCAGCCAGGAAGAAAATCTCTCTCTAGTAGCAAATTTCCCGGGGGACATGAGCATATCGCACAAGACAAATATTTAAGGCACTAATAAGCCACCAGCCCTTTACGAGTCTTGCTGAGCTCAGACCACTGCAGTCTTCACTCGATGGTAAGTGGGGAAAGGTGGCATTTTGGTTTTCTGTAGCTACTTTCAGCATTTGATTGAAAAATGAAACCTTGAAGTGTGACATTTGTAGCTAAATCCTTAAAAAAATCAGCGGAGAAGTGTCTATAACTTCTCAGCTTAGACAGAGGGAGTGTTGGATGTGCAGAACACTGCGGTCATCTGAAGAAATGGGCTGCGCCCTCAAAAGCTCATGATCCCATCTACACGTGTTGTGAGTCTTTAAAGTGCTACCAGAGCATTTGTAGCTTTTTCAGTTTATCCTTTCACAGACTAACTCAGCTCCCCCTCTGATGCTTTTCGAGTGAAACCCCGGGGTGCAAAACAACGAGTAGTAACAGCTTTGTCACTCTCTGCGTGGCCACAGGACCACTTGTTTTTGGTTTTTATGTTACAGACTAACACGGGCACCCCACTGAAAAGCTAGATGTAGTTTGACAGCTCTATTTGGGGGGACAGCCCAATGCTTAGGAAGAGGGGGAAATCCAGGCTTTTCTGAGGCCTGCTAGTTGGAAGGGGAGAATATCCACCTGCCTCCTTCCCCCCAAAATAACTATACTGATGTTGAAAGCTGCCAAAATGATCTATTTCCAGCTCAAAACCGATGAAGAACTTTTTCTTTCCTAAGTGAGATGATGGAAATTTTTATCACCTCCCCCACCCCCACCACCTTCAATGACAAGTCAAAAAAAGAGAGGAAAAGAGAGACTTCCTGTGAACGTTTTAATTATTTTGTAAAACCAAATTTTATAGTATCGTAAGGTAGGTAGGAAGGATAGATAGATAGATAGATAGAGGGGGTGTGCAGGGATAGATAGATAGACACCTCGGCACGTTATAGGCAGAGCTGGTTGGATGGGCTGAAAACTTTTCACTCAGTAATCAGTCTGTCTTGACTGTCTGTCTATCTCCCAAAACCCCTGTATCTATCTATCTACCCCCATTCACCTCCTCTATCTATCTATCTCCACACACACCATCTATCTATCTATCTATCTAGCTATCTATCTATCTATCTAGCTATCTATCTATCTATCTAGCTATCTATCTATCTATCTAGCTATCTATCTATCTATCTAGCTATCTATCTATCTATCTAGCTATCTATCTATCTATCTAGCTATCTATCTATCTATCTAGCTATCTATCTATCTATCTAGCTATCTATCTATCTATCTAGCTATCTATCTATCTATCTAGCTATCTATCTATCTATCTAGCTATCTATCTATCTATCTAGCTATCTATCTATCTATCTAGCTATCTATCTATCTATCTAGCTATCTATCTATCTATCTAGCTATCTATCTATCTATCTAGCTATCTATCTATCTATCTAGCTATCTATCTATCTATCTAGCTATCTATCTATCTATCTAGCTATCTATCTATCTATCTAGCTATCTATCTATCTATCTAGCTATCTATCTATCTATCTAGCTATCTATCTATCTATCTAGCTATCTATCTATCTATCTAGCTATCTATCTATCTATCTAGCTATCTATCTATCTATCTAGCTATCTATCTATCTATCTAGCTATCTATCTATCTATCTAGCTATCTATCTATCTATCTAGCTATCTATCTATCTATCTAGCTATCTATCTATCTATCTAGCTATCTATCTATCTATCTAGCTATCTATCTATCTATCTAGCTATCTATCTATCTATCTAGCTATCTATCTATCTATCTAGCTATCTATCTATCTATCTAGCTATCTATCTATCTATCTAGCTATCTATCTATCTATCTAGCTATCTATCTATCTATCTAGCTATCTATCTATCTATCTAGCTATCTATCTATCTATCTAGCTATCTATCTATCTATCTAGCTATCTATCTATCTATCTAGCTATCTATCTATCTATCTAGCTATCTATCTATCTATCTAGCTATCTATCTATCTATCTAGCTATCTATCTATCTATCTAGCTATCTATCTATCTATCTAGCTATCTATCTATCTATCTAGCTATCTATCTATCTATCTAGCTATCTATCTATCTATCTAGCTATCTATCTATCTATCTAGCTATCTATCTATCTATCTAGCTATCTATCTATCTATCTAGCTATCTATCTATCTATCTAGCTATCTATCTATCTATCTAGCTATCTATCTATCTATCTAGCTATCTATCTATCTATCTATCCCCATACACCCCATCTATCTATCTATCTAGTATATTGCTCTTTTCCCTTTCTGTTTCTACATAGTTTCTAGTAGCCTTGTATGAAGCCCCCAGGAGCCTATGCAAAGATACCTACCGAATTGTACAATGAGTCGTGTGCTGTAATGGAAGGGCCCATGGACCCTTGTCTATGTCACGGCCCCTCCGTGTGCCTGTGTTCCCCCTTGATGTAACGGGGGGTACCCTTCTTTACCTTGTTTGTAATTTACTTTGCCAGGGTGGATGGAAAGACCGTTACAGGGTCTTGCTATTAATATACAACTTTCATCTCCAGGGGCTTCTCGCATTCCTCTATAGTCAATGCATATTTCCAAATAGAACATTCACACATCGTTTTTTTTCTCGATTGCAGAATTGCTCTCAGTGTGTCCATACTGCAGTCTCGTGATGCTCTCTTTTTCCAGTGGCAGGGACCCAAATCAAGCCGGAAGCATGGAGAGGAGAAATCAAACGGCACTGAAGGAGTTCATCATTCTGGGGTTTTCCAGCCTCCGGGAGGTGCGGCTTTTACTCTTCATGGGCTTTTTGACCACTTACGTCTTCACCCTGCTCGGGAACACCTTCATCATTGTCCTCGCCTGGCTGGACCAGCGACTCCACACGCCCATGTATTTCTTCCTGGCCAACCTATCCTTTCTGGACATCTGTTATACCACCACCACTGTCCCCCAGATGTTGGTTCATCTCCTCTCCGAGAGGAGCACCATCTCCTACATGGGCTGCGGGCTGCAACTTTTCTTCTTCTTCTCCTTTGTGGGCACCGAGTGCCTCCTGCTGGCAGTGATGGCCTTTGACCGCTACGTGGCCATTTGCAACCCACTGCGTTACACGCTGATCGTCAACAAAACCATCTGCCTCTGGCTGTCCACTGCTTCCTGGGTAAGCGGCTTCCTCAACTCGACAGTCCATACGATCTTCGCCTTCCAGTTGCCCTTCTGTGGGGACAACCGTATCGACTACTTCTTCTGTGATATCCCGCCGCTTCTTGAGCTGTCGTGCGGGGACACCTCCCTCAACAAACTCCTCATCATCTTCATCGGCCTCTTCATAGCTTGGGCCCCCTTCGCCTGCATCCTTCTCTCCTACACTTACATCCTCTCAACCATACTGAAGATGCCTTCTTCCAAGGGAAAGAAGAAGGCATATTCCACCTGCTCATCCCACCTGACGGTGGTGATTCTCTACTATGGCAGTTGTATCTTCACTTACCTGAGACCCAGTTCCAGTTACTCACCAGATAGCACCAGACTGATCTCATTGATGTACAGCATCTTAACGCCGATGCTAAACCCAGTCATTTATACCCTGCGGAACAAGGACGTGAAAGAGGCTTTGAAAAATGTTCTGCTTAGGACATGACTGGATATTATCTTCAACTTCCTCATCCTCTTCCGCTCGGCTGATGTTTCCCTTTCTTCTTTTTTTCTCTCTCTTCTTTTATCTTAATTTTGTTGTCATCCCTTTGTCTGCTTTCTCAGTTTTTCTTCTACTGATGTGGTTTTTTTGTCAATATCATAATCCTCTTCTTAGCTATTAGAACCTAAAAATTCCCATAAAACTGGCCCTGATGGGTCAGATCAATGGACCATCATGCCCAGTATCCAATCTTCCAATAGTGGCCAATGCCAGATGCTTCAAAGGGAATGAACAGAACCAGTAGTTGTCTAGTGATACATCCTCCATTGTCATATCACAACAAATGAGAGACAATGAATAGGGGCACCCAGAACATGGAGTTGTCCCTGTCCACGTTGGCTAATAGCCACAAATGGACTTATTCTCCACAAACATTTTTCATTATCTTCTTTTTCCATCGTCATTTTCTTCTCTTCCTACCACTCTTCTTCTTCTTCTTCTTCTTGACTTAGGCTACATCTACACTACAGAGTTTTTCCGGGATATATTCTGGAAAAACTCTTCTGCGTCTCATCGGAACGCATCTGCTCTTCCAAATTCTTTCCGCAAGAGCAGATGTGCTTTTTCGGCATCCCTGTAAACCTCATTTTACGAGGAAGAACAGATGTTCCGAAAAAGCCTCTTCCGAAAAAAGAAGTGGAAAAAGCTACGCAAATTGTGGTTCACAATTTGCATAACCATTTCCAGAAGAACAGTGAAGTGTGGATGTAGCCTTAGAAGACTGGAAGAGACCTCAGGGTGTCATTGAATCCAACCTTCTTCTTCGCCTCCTCCTCCTCCTCCTCCAAATATTTGAAAACAGCTTCTGGTATTAACCAATACATTGCAGTGCATAAATTCTCATTCATTTTAGAATGGGATACTATACCTGCTTTTGTATAATTTCTTCTTACTTTCTTTAATAGCTCTTTTCTGCACAGAAGCATGCAAATTCCATGGCATGTAGTGTGTGTTGCACAGAGATCACAAAGACAACATAGTTTAAGACTTTGATTTTTATTGGTAAATGTTGATAAATGCCAGTTGCCCTGAATATACACACGCTTTCTTCCATAATTGAATTTACAGAGAGCCAATGCAAAAACAATTATTTTGTTTTTGCCTGAGAACGTCTTAGAGCTTGGTTAACGAGCTGTACTTTGTTTTGATATGTGCAGCTGAAAATTTGTGTTTTAACTGTGATACGTTTTTGGAATCAATTTCCACGGCCAGTAACTAATTGTGATTGCTCTGTGGTCCAACTCAAGTCAGTTTCCTGCCACTGTAAAACTTTAAATTGATACCCATGATTCCAAAATGTTTACAACTCTAGCTAGATTGGCAGATGTACCCAGCATTGCTTGGGTTCTTAACTGTAGTAATGTGGGTTTTTTAATTAAAAGAAAATTGGGCATGCTTTATTTCAGTGATGGAGCTCAGGGCAGGCGATTGGGGGCAGGGGGTGTGGGTGGGGGGCCAGGGCAAGGGCTGGAGGGGCAGAGGGCTGAGCAGTGTGGGGGCGGGGGGCTCAGAG